TGGAGCATAGTTGTTAATTGCGGTTGGTTGATTTAAAGTGGTACTGTCGTTAAAAGTGCCCTGGCGCAAACTGATACGACGCCGTTCATTAGCTAATCCTAGTTGGTTTGATCCCTCTTGAACTAGGAATCCTGTACCAGAGGGACTATATTGGCCGAATAAATCAAGGTTTTGCTTTTGCTCTGGTGGACTGGCTGAGCGAAGTGAATGACTTCGCATATTGCGCACGGCTAGGCTTCTCCGAGCTCTTGAAGTTGGTACTTCTTGTTGTGGCCTCTGCTGCTGATGTTGTACATTGCTCGAAATAGCATTGTCTTCTAAATCTGGGGAGGCTACTTCACCGGCTCTCTCGGTTGACATGTTGTTAGCACTTCGTTGCATGCCGGCCAGGTTGACTTGTGACCGTGTCGAATGTGCATTCGCCAATCGACAGAAGAAGTCAAATTCATCAAGCTCATCGGAATCATTCACTTGCACTACAGCAGGCGGTCCGCGCCTCTGACCAACCGCCTGTATTGATGACCTCTGTCCGGCCACCGTAGCAGAGGTTGTCGATGAAATGGTCCGCGAAACTCTTGAAGCTTCACGTGACTGTTTTGGCGATCCAAAGCTAGCACTGGTGCAGGTATTGTTGACTATGCAATTCGATTGTCCACTTCGTTGTCGACATCCCTGCATTGATAATGCACTTGGCCCCGAAGCGGCTGGGATCTGTTCGGGGGTAAAATTGAACGAATTTGGCTGACGTTTTAGGCCAATGCGCTGAGAATACTTTGATGGTGTCATGCCGCCACTATTCTGCACTTCTGGTTGGGATCTACCAATTTGTCGTGAACCTGTATTTGAAGCCGTGATTGAATTTGGACCAGAAGAGAGGTTCCGACTCATTTGGCTCTGTGTAGTGGCGCCCACTATGGGCTTTCGATGGTCAATGTTTGACATGTCTGGCTCAGAAGAGGCTGACAAATCGGCAGGGAATATGCTCAAAAGTGTTGAAGTGCCTTCGCCAGCTCCCGTCACTCGACCGCCGTAGCCATCGTAGCTGGA